TACTGCAATAACAAATATTAATAACTAGGGATGGGTACCGGTGTCCGGTGCCATGATGGCACCGGTTCTGACATAAACGGTAGTAACCAGACCGAAAAGCAGCGCACATTTCGGTGCTTTATTTCGGTGCTTTTTTTTCCTGAGCTGTGATACACTTTAGATTCTAGCCAATCAGTTTACGTTTCCGAGGATAGTAGGCGGGGCCAGGTACATAGTTCTGTTAGAGCAGAGCTACAGATTAAAAATGTCCAAGGCGAAGCGGTCAGAAGTCTGGCTGTACTTCACAGCAAAAGATGCAAACTCAGCAGCCTGCAACAAGTGCTTGAAGCTGATACTGTGATACTGTCAAAGGAGGTAACACCTCAAATCCGATGAAACACCTGGCGACGCATAGCGTTTTTTTTTAAAAGCCCAGAAATGCGCTGTATTTGATAGCTTGCTGCGAGACCTCACACCGAGCACATCTACTGCGGGTGGGTTGCCTGTTATGCAACATCCCCCAAAAACACGAAGAGGAGAGTCCTGGCCCCTAGCCCTGCCAGTGTAGCAGAAATGATGACGGATGATGGTGGCAGCAGCCGTTCTTCTCTGCGTGAGTAGCTAATTTACGTTGAGTAGGCTAACCACGTTATTACATTAATGCATGTAAGGTGAACTAGCAAACATCATCATAGCTACATGCGGCTGTCCTCTTGTTTGATGGCAGATACTCCCTTCACCCTGGCTAAAAAGGCTAAAATGACCAAAGAAAAAGTGGAAAACAGTTAAACATGAAAGGTTTAGGACAAAGTTTGTGTTTTTTCCATTGTTTAAGCACTGCTTCCAGCCAAGAGTGATACCATATATGCCCCATAGCTGCAGAAAAGGCTAACATTGTTATATTTTTACAAAAAACAGCTGAACATGAGAGGTTTTTGGACCAATTTTGTGTTCTCCATTCTTTAAACACCGGTTTGAGCACCGTTTGAGCACCGGCACCGTTTCAAAAGTACCGATTTGGCACCGGTATCGGATAAAACCTAAACAATACCCATCCCTATTAATAACTCGTCAAAAGAACCAAAACAAACATGAAAATGTTTTAAAAATGGATCACACTAAATTGTTAACATTTTAGTAGAGGTCTGCATAGCTGCGTCTCTGAGGCCCAGGTATGCTGTATGTCATTATTTGATCTTTTCAATTTTGCCACATTCTTCATTTAAATGGTTCATTTCCTGAACTAACTGCCAATTGAAATATATGTTTTTGAAACCAGAGCTACCAACACACTTTTTTATTAAGACTAATATAAATTTTAAATGATATAATGGAGAGTGAACAGCAACACCCAAGTATTACAAATAAAGTATTTGTCCATACCTATTTGTTTGTCCAAACTCACATCTTCTCATGTACCCTAACCAACTATTTCTTCTTTTTAGCCAATAAAATCATTAGTATCTCCTCATTCATGACCCATAATCGCAGTCACAAACAACTCAGGTTGACCAGTACAGTAGTTTACCTCCCTTCGGGCCATAGACATAGACAGCCCATGTGAAAATATCCTTGCTTTAGCACAAACTTTGTTCCAACATGTGATGGTAGAGTATTTTTTTTTTTATCATTTGCAATCATTTAGAATCAACTTGCTGATAGTCCAGCCATGGTATGAAGTCTGAATACAAATGTCTGAATGCTGAATATTCAGTGTTTATTCATTAAGGCATAAAAAACCTTAATGGAAGTTTGGCTTGGCTCCCATGTACACTTAACTTGTTGCACATACTCAGAACTGCACATAAAATGTAGTCTGAAAGTCTGAGTGCACAACAAGAGCACATTTATTCCATCATTCATTTTCAAATGCTGTGTCTTGGGATGTTTTGCTTTACACGAAACAGGAAAAGGGTATAAATATGCATTTGTTTTTTTTCATGTGTGAGATATCCATTTGGTGCTGCCTTGGTGATAAGTCGTCAAACTTGAGTCAGGTTGAGATGAAGGAGAATGAGAAGCAGAAGATTTAAGCATTCTGTGGATTATTGAACTGATTCTGAAATTTCAGGTCAATCAAGGAGACTGAAAATGCAGCATACTTTTGCTTTGGGATCACATTACATGAATGGAATAAAAAGACAAGCTATAAAGCAGAATTTGTTTTTGTTTTTTAACAGCAACGTGTTCAGTGATGATGACAATTTAACAATTATTTTTGCTAAGAGTAATTGTTATTGTGTAATTGTTCACTTATCAAGAGAAAAAAAACACTTTGTTTTCAATGAACATTAAAAAATGCATCTTAATTTAAAGAAGTTCATGCACTAGAAGTTCATCAACTTATTTTCATTAATTCATTAATTCTGCTGTTCATTGGTAAGTATTTTCCTCTTGCTCTCGCTACTGGACTTGAGGTCAGCATACATTCACTCTGGGTTCCTTTATACCTCTATGTTTGCATGCTGACCATTTTTTTCGTCACTAAAAACTGTAATCAGCTCTCTGCTCATCATACAAAAATTGAACCACCATTCTCTGCACCTGATTATAAAACATGCAAAAAAAGATTGCCTCTTTTTTTTTAGAATCTCTGAAAAACTAATTTGTATATCAATCAACTTTTTAATTCTCAGCTTGGTCCCTGACTCCCTGGTTACCATCCCTCTTTTGGCTACTGTCCACCCAATTATACTTGTTCCCCATTTTTAGTTTTATTTTAGTATTGTCTTCTATTCCACCTTCAAATTGTACGACCCTGTCAAGGTTCAGTTTCAAAATGGGCCTGTAGTGTGTGGCAGGGTTAGACCGTTAGTCTGGTATCTTCGGGTAGATCACTCTAGGATATATCACTATGGTAGCCTATGCTCCACATACAGTATAACCTGCTCCAACTTGCTCTGTGTTCAAGCTCCAGGCTGAAAACCATTACCATTTTCCACAAATGGGAATGCAGTGGTTTTCTTTCCCTAGACATAAGACAATACGCTCTATGTCTCATCAGTCCTCAAAACATTATTCCAAAAGCCTATCATTTCATTTTTAGCGGAAAACAGATGTGCACATGTGCTCTTTTTTGGGACGCAGTGCTTTATTGTTGCTCAGTATTCTCACGATTATTGACACATGAACATTAGCAAATATGGGACAGGCTTGTAGTTCCTTGTGAACTCTTTCTGGAGTGACGTTTGATCGCTCATGAAGAGCAGATCAATAGTCTTGAATTTCCTTCATGTGTATACCCTGTCTAAGTGGAGTATTTATCAACTACGTGACCAGCCTTCTCCTTTTTTTCCATCATGGTATGAAGTGAAGATCAAATTTTTTTAGAGCCTTCTTTCTTAAATAAAAATTGTTTCCTACGAACAGTTGTCACTAGTGCCATTGAAAACACCTAATTCTAATTTAACCAAACATACTGATAAATCTGGGATTCACTTATTATGGCCCTTTGCAAACGTGAAGTGTATAATTATTTTTCTTAGGTAAATGATTTGATTAATTAGGTTCTCACATTTAACTTTTAGGACTTTAAAATATGATGTTTCAGGTCATATTTCTATTTAATCTTAAAAAACAAATGAAAAGGGAAAAGGCGAAAAATCATATGTCACAAAACATGGCTGGCTTGAAAGTATACATATCAGCTGATGTAGTAACTACAGCTTGTCACATATTACATCCAGCAGTTTATGAGAAAAAATCTACTTAAATACTGAAATTGCATATCTCAATACTTATGCAAATACTAAAGCAAGTGTTTACACTTACACACAAACTTGAGCAGGACTGTATCTACTTACAAGCTATGCTTGGCCACATAAGGGCCACATAAAATTGAATTAGAAAACCCACACAAAGAAATCTCTGGCTCTTTGAAGATAAATTCTAGTGTGAATGGTTATAGGGATTTATACACAAGCAGCTCAACTCTTAACCCCAGGTGATTTAACTTGCCTGTGCCCCTCAGTACAGGTGAAGTAATTGAGTAAATAGAAAGGCTATGAATATATTTCCATCTTATCTCCGCCCATAATTTTCTGTAGAAAGCTTACATCAGCAACTTGTGTTGGTCACAATGAAAACTGTATTGGCAGTGGGTCATGCTGTGTATGCACATCTCTGCCGGCCTTTCAAGATAAGAGTGATTATGAAGTGAAGGGTGGCATCGGATTTCTGCACCATCTTCTCTTCTCTTCTCTGCTCTAGTCTTTGATGAGACTGCGCGAATTTTCTGAAGGTTTCAAAAAGAAGCAGGGGGAAGCATTAAAGCCACTTGCCTATTCTTCTGTAGAATCACTATGCAACCAAAAGACTTTTGGTCTCTTGAAGTATAGCAAGAAAAATAAGTTACAAGGATAACTTTTTTGCACATCCAATGGATGCATGACCAGGCTAACATCTGGAGAACTGAAAGGACAAGCCAGCACTTCAGCAGCATGCCTGTAAACATACTGAAAAAGAATTACATGACTCATCAGACCACCCTCACTGTCTTTCGTTGACCTATGGTCTAGTCCTGATGTCCATCACAAGCACATTTAAGTGTGAAACAAAATGGTTTGCAGTATGCAGTTTTGGCACTCTTTTCCTTGGGCACCAATGTCCCCACTGTTGCTTCATCAGTTGATCTTCCTTGGACAAGTTTTGGAAGGTACTAACCATGAAAATTAGTAGCAGCCCCCAACATGACTTGACCCATGTAAAGTCACCTTAAGTTACAATCCTTATCCATTTTTGCCCTCCAACACATCAACTTCAAGGAATTCTTACTTATGTGGCTGATATGTTTAATGACTGTCTGATGTAAATGATGAAATATGCTTGATATGGCCTCCTATTTACACAGTGTTGATCAGGGTGAACTATTTTGTTGTGTTCAATCCTCCAAAGATGTCAGTATGTAACATTTTAATGCAGATATTTTTGCCGTTGTGTTTTTATGCCTGAGGGTGAAAACACATATTCTGTGTTTTTCTTCCTTTTTATTATACCCGTCTGTTTTTCTATTTTTGTTCTAGATGGGAAATGCCTCCGAAACATTTCTGTTCATGTCTAAAATATCAAAAGACAATGACTTCATCATGGGAACGCTCTACACCATTTTTGGTGAGTGATTTATCCCCCCAAGGTCAATCCTTTTAATGTGGACTCAAATTCTTCAGCTCTTTACATTATATTGCTCTGTGTCCTAGGTGTGCTGTCGGTGCTTGGAAATGGCATCCTGCTGTTCGTGGCCTATAGAAAGAAGTCCTCCTTGAAGCCAGCAGAGTTCTTTGTGGTAAACCTGTCCATCAGTGACCTGAGCATGACCGTAACCTTGTTTCCATTTGCAATACCTTCAACCTACACACACATGTGAGTGACAATTCAGGTTTTCAATTTTTTTTTCACATTTCATCTAGTCCTCTTTTATGTCATCTTCACATTTTTATCTTCATGAGAGACAAGGATAGAAGGAAAAAGACAGATGAAGAGTGAGGTTAGAGGAGTGGTTTGAAAGGCAAGGCTGTAGCTGCCGACGAAAACCAGGGCTTTAACAGCCTGAGCAGTAGTTTACGACATGCATTAAAAGACAAATTAAGGTTTTGTAAGCAGATGCTTGCAGACATAAATTCATCATATTTGATTGTTTGTGGATACGACAGATAAAATACAAATAAATGCATTTTTAAAGGATTTTGTGATTTTTCCATTTGTATAAAATGGAGGTGGAAATATACTATCATGCTAGATTTGCAACACATTAATGGTATATCTGATATTGTCACTTCAGCAATCAAAATTTGAAAAAACCCTCCACATTTATGAAAACGTTGATATTCTAATTTTGAGATCATTTTTGCTTGTAATTCTTGCTGTGTGCTCATAGCATAGACCTTGGGAAGAAGCAGTAAGTGATTTCTGACTTTTTGGCCAGAGTTTTGCCTCTGAGGCTTTACAAGGTTGTTGAGCCCAACTGCAGCCTCAAAAGATGACTACAGATGCTACTCAAGGTTGGAAAAAATGCTGAAAAAGACACAAGTAGCATAGCAAGGCCCTGTGTAGTGCAGATGAAAAGCCAGAATTTTCAGTTTAACTCTGTGTGAAGTTTCCAGGTGTATGATTTTAAGTAGTATTTGTGCAAAAAACAATAAACAATGCAAATGTCTTTTTAACTCCACTGTCATTGAGCTTTGGACAATAACATGTTTCCTATTTTTGTAATATTTTCTATGTGTTGCACTGATAAAAATGTTTTAGATAATGTGGAAAGCATTTATGTCTCCTTTGTTCATGCATCCTACATAATACCTTTGTCTGTCTTCTGTCTCTTCCTATGATTGTCTGCCTGCTGTCTTATTCTCTGACCATTCGCCGCTGATAGCTGTCATATGCACCATTATTGGGTCAGAGTGCTTCACCGCATGCTACAGTTGAATATGATCCAGGAGACCAGAAAATGTATTGCAGTCTCATTGACTGAAATTCACCAAAGGGAATTTGCAGGCAAACTCTCACTTAATATCACACAGTAACACATGTTCTGTTTTCTTTCTCTCTCCATTCAGGTGGTTGTTTAATGAGACAGCCTGTACTGTGTATGCCTTTTGTGGTGTTTTGTTTGGCCTGTGCAGTCTGACCAACCTAACAGTGCTCTCCTGTGTCTGCTGGCTCAAGGTCTGCTGTCCTAACTACGGTAACAACACCAGTTTTTAATGCTTTACATTGCAAAACAATGCACTATTTTAACACTAAGGAATTTAGTGACCCGCGAGAATGACCCAAACTGAGGCAATAAAGAAAATCAAAGACATGGTTGTTTAGGGTTATTGTGAAACCAGTGAAATAAGATTCTGTGTGATCTCAGTGAGTTTACTTGAAATGTAATTCCATTATTGGTTGTTTTCCATGGATGATCTACAGAAACCTTTTGCAACTTTTCAGGTGTTTTCCATTTAACATTTTTTCATTCTGCAACTCATTTTGAATCACAACCAAACTTATGCTCACTCACTCACATGAACCACTTTGCTGTGTCAAACTGTTTCTCTATGGGAGTTCTCAGGATGCAGTTGGCATAAGATGCAAGTGTCCCTGCCTCTTTCCAGTATCACTTCACAATAATTATTTCACGATGCTTTATATTGTAACTAAAGACTCTACAGTATTATTCCAAGGCCCCCTAACAATCCAACTATCCCGGCAGCCACTTGGCAGCAGTGGGAATGAAGAACTCATTTTAACAGGAAGAGACCTCTGGCAGACCCAGACTCAGGGAGGGAGAGCAATCTGCTGTAGCCATTGGGGAGTATGAGAAGAAGAGAGAAAGAAAAGCATAGAGAGACAACATACACTACCAACACGTACACATTGCAGTGCATCAAGTAATATTCTTTTGTTAGACGCAGATAACATCACAAACAAACCCAGAAGGTGTTTTTGTTTTGTTCTTTTTTGTTGTCGTTGTTGCTTTTTAAGTGGCTGCCAAAACAGCAGCATTATTGGATGTTACTAGAAAAAGTCTGCATTGAGAGGAGTGGTGGTGGAGTATGCTAGTTTCTTGTTTATACTCCTTTTGGATATTTGAGTTTGGAGCTTTGGCTTTGTTTTAACCCTTTTATTTATTTCATTTGTGGCTATTTTTTATTCTCACCTGACTCACTGGTGCCTCACATCAAGACAGTCCTGAGTTCAATTCCACCATCAGGCCAGGGCCTTTCTTTGTGGAGTTTGCATGTGCATCTCCCTGTGCTTGTGTGGGTTCTCTCTGGCTTCTCTCACAGTCCAAAGACATCCAATTATTGGGGTCAACTGGTAAATCTAAATTGCTCACAGGTGTGAATGTGAGCAATCTACTGTTAGGTCTGTGACAGACTGGAAACCTGTCCAGGCCCAGGGTGCCTCTTCTCCTAAGACAGCTGGGATAGGCTCCAGCCCTGAATTTGATTGAGTGGAAGAATGAATGGATGGACTTAACTCATTGGTTAGGTTGTGTTGTATAGAGTACTTCCTTGGGCGAAGATAGAGAAAATAGGCTTTGGCACTGGAAATTACCTCAATGCGTGTTTACCCCTTCCATTAAAATGATATGCAGGAGTCTATTACAAGCATGTGAGTGAGAGGTTTGTCTCACTGCTGCCTAGACTGTGCACATAAGGCGCTGACAAAAAAAATGACACGTGGCGCATATCTGTGAGATGCTACCAAATTGACACATCAATGTTTCATGCCCTTGGAATGAGACCTAACTGATGCATCTCTCTTTTTTCCCTGTTTCATTCCTGCACATTTAACAGATATTTCTTCTTTCTTCATTGAATGACATGATTCAATACTTTGTTCCATTCTTGTTACAGTTTAGGATGAACAAGTCATATCTGATATCCACATTTGGCCTCTTAGCTAGCATTACCTTATTTATTTGACTTGGTCAAGGAATCAAAGGGCTGGCTGTATGATGCTTCCAGTGTAGATATAGCTTAATTCCAGCGTAGCTCTAAGAAGACCAAAAATAATTACTGTTGCAGAAGGGTTTTTTTCTTATTCTGTATCATACATCCCCAAAGGTTCTGTGTGATATATGTACAGTGGGGCAAAAAAGTATTTAGTCAGCCACCGATTGTGCAAGTTCCCCCACTTAAAATGATGACAGAGGTCAGTAATTTGCACCAGAGGTACACTTCAACTGTGAGAGACAGAATGTGAAAAAAAAACCATGAATCCACATGGTAGGATTTGTAAAGAATTTATTCGTAAATTAGGGTGGAAAATAAGTATTTGGTCAATAACAAAAATACAACTCAATACTTTGTAACATAACCTTTGTTGGCAATAACAGAGGTCAAACGTTTACTATAGGTCTTTACCAGGTTTGCACACGCAGTAGCTGGTATTTTGGCCCATTCCTCCATGCAGATCTTCTCGAGAGCAGTGATGTTTTGGGGCTGTCGCCGAGCAACACGGACTTTCAACTCTCGCCACAGATTTTCTATGGGGTTGAGGTCTGGAGACTGGCTAGGCCACTCCAGGACTTTCAAATGCTTCTTACGGAGCCACTCCTTTGTTGCCCGGGCGGTGTGTTTTGGATCATTGTCATGTTGGAAGACCCAGCCTCGTTTCATCTTCAAAGTTCTCACTGATGGAAGGAGGTTTTGGCTCAAAATCTCACGATACATGGCCCCATTCATTCTGTCCTTAACACGGATCAGTCGTCCTGTCCCCTTGGCAGAAAAACAGCCCCATAGCATGATGTTTCCACCCCCATGCTTCACAGTAGGTATGGTGTTCTTGGGATGCAACTCAGTATTCTTCTTCCTCCAAACACGACGAGTTGAGTTTATACCAAAAAGTTCTACTTTGGTTTCATCTGACCACATGACATTCTCCCAATCCTCTGCTGTATCATCCATGTGCTCTCTGGCAAACTTCAGACGGGCCTGGACATGCACTGGCTTCAGCAGCGGAACACGTCTGGCACTGCGGGATTTGATTCCCTGCCGTTGTAGTGTGTTACTGATGGTGACCTTTGTTACTTTGGTCCCAGCTCTCTGCAGGTCATTCACCAGGTCCCCCCGTGTGGTTCTGGGATCTTTGCTCACCGTTCTCATGATCATTTTGACCCCACGGGATGAGATCTTGCGTGGAGCCCCAGATCGAGGGAGATTATCAGTGGTCTTGTATGTCTTCCATTTTCTGATGATTGCTCCCACAGTTGATTTTTTCACACCAAGCTGCTTGCCTATTGTAGATTCACTCTTCCCAGTCTGGTGCAGGTCTACAATACTTTTCCTGGTGTCCTTCCAAAGCTCTTTGGTCTTGGCCATGGCGGCGTTTGGAGTCTGACTGTTTGAGGCTGTGGACAGGTGTCTTTTATACAGATGATGAGTTCAAACAGGTGCCATTCATACAGGTAACGAGTGGGGGACAGAAAAGCTTCTTACAGAAGACGTTACAGGTCTGTGAGAGCCAGAGATTTTCCTTGTTTGAGGTGACCAAATACTTATTTTCCACCCTAATTTACGAATAAATTCTTTACAAATCCTACCATGTGGATTCATGGATTTTTTTTTCACATTCTGTCTCTCACAGTTGAAGTGTACCTCTGGTGCAAATTACTGCCCTCTGTTAAGTGGGGGAACTTGCACAATCGGTGGCTGACTAAATACTTTTTTGCCCCACTGTATAGGTTGAAAAATCGAAATAAACCACCAGACAACCAAAAGGCACGAGAGACCACAGAAGAGAACTAAAGTGCGTGATGACAGAATTATTTCCACGGTTAAGAAAAACTCTTCCATCTCCACGGTAGTTTGCGTGTCATTGTTAAGGTTTATAATCAAGATATGTCTATAGTCAATATATGTCTTCATGACTAGATAACAAGAGGGTTTCCTCAAGGTTTATATTAGTAGTTACACTGAAGATTATGAAGGCCAGAAATAGCTGTACTATTTTAATGGTTTGTTAAGCCCCTTGAATTAAAGCTAAAAGTCTGCGCTTTTGTCACAATTTATTTAATCATCCACTCTGGTGTGTACAAAGACAGAAATTACAACGCGAAATGTGTCATTGTCCGAAAACAACTAATGACTGCAGCTTTAGCAGCAAGAAAGGCTTCTATAGATGAATTGAATGAATCCAAATAATTGTAATACATAAAAGTTTGTGTTTCCTGTCATTCATTGTGTGTTTTAAAATGTTAGTTGTTCACATGTGCATTTTTACCACTTCAGATGTTATAGAAAAACTGGTAATTGTTCTTAAAAACTGTAATGAATGTAACATTTCAGTATTTCAGTTATCTAAATATCGTGAAAGCATCAAAGGCATCTTTATTCTGGGTTAAAAATCAAGGTGTTGATTCCTTGATCTCAACCTTTCAAAACTGTGTGCCAGGCTTGTCTGAAAGCTCTTTTAGTTCAGCTACGATGGTCCTTACGTGTTCACTTTCAAACCTCTTCACCGTTTCTATATTATTTATCTGTATTAGCTTAACTCAAGGTCTGCTTCGTATTCATACAAGTACTTAAGGTAATCATAGAGTTGGCTGCACAACAACAACAACAATAATAATAATAATAATAATAATAATAATAATAATAGTTTCGTCTTCAAAGCATCAGCTCTTTACACAGGTTAAAGTGAGTAATTTTTTTCAATATATACCAATAGAGTCTTAGTGTTATTGCTATGCGAAGCTTCACTAATCATACTTCTACTCACCTTCTTTTATTTGTGGGTTTGCATCCATAGTCTAAAAGTTTTAGATAAAATTCCCATTGAGTTCAGATAGAATAATGAGATTTTTTCCAGTCACAACTAAAAGGGTTCAGCTATTTGCTAATTAGCAGCAGTAAAAGGGTAAAAGTAGACTGATTATTGAAAAAAAGACCAGATTTAGAAATGCTGAAGTTTTGAAATTAAATTCTCAAAACAGGGACAGAATTAGGGAAGAGAAACATGTATTGCAACATTCATGTTTGTGTAGCTGGACAGTATAAACCAGTTAAAATTTCATTGTGTCATATATATTAATTATTCACAGTTAGCATTTTGTTTTTAATCCTGGATTTTACCTCTTTAGTTCTCACCATCATGCTGGCGTTTGTACTGCTACAAATCTGATGGTAATATGGTGCCCTTTCCTCTTGAATCCATAGAAATCAAGGGTTTTATGGGACACTATAAACTGAGGGAAATTCTGCTGCTGCACTCCTCCACAAAATGTTAAAAAGCACAGTTACGTTTTGTGGGCTCTGAGAATTTGTTGTTCTACACAGTTATCTATGACTAAGCCAAACCAGCACAAATAGCTGATTCTGGATCAGTGTAACATTTCAATACACCGTTAGCACATCCAAAAAGCACTGAATTCATGGTTGATAAAGGTTAATTTTCAAGACTTATCATTTACTTGTATGTGCTTCATTAAACCATTCTTTTCTTTAATATTTGAAACTTTGATAATCCGAAGCAGCACTTGACTATAATTCATAATTTATAATTCATAAATCATAATTTAAAAAAACACTGAATATGCAGGCATAAATTAATTGATAACCTGTAATTTAGTTTTAATTAGGTACCCTTATTACTATCCTCACTCGATGAATGGGTGTGCTGATTAAGTGCCAGATTTAAGCAATATTCTCATTTATATCCTTTGCACACTTGCCCATACACACTGCAGGGATCACAGAACTGGGGGCTGCATCGATCATCTTTATAGTCCACTAAGTAAAACCCTGCCTAACAGGCATGTTCTAGTACTTTAATATAATAGAAAAGCAGGTCAAGCTGTTCAAGAAACAAAATCAAAACAAATGGAAAAAAGAGCACAGAGAGCACAAAACTAATGTAGTGCTGCAGGATGAGTTATGAGATGCAGGTGGAGATTATATACATCTAATGAAAAGTGTCCACTTACAGTATATGATGCAGATATTTCAGGATTTGTCCTAACTTTGGCTAATAGGCACATTATAATTGAAGGCTGTGTTATGAAATAGCTCCTCTTGTCTGTTTTTCAGTGGCGCACAGTCTATAATGCAGAGAATAAAAGCCAAGAGACTACAAGCTTCACAAGCAAATGTGTTTGAAATGCAAATGAGCACAAATAATTACACTGTCATATATTTTTTCCTGCAAGAAACTTTGTTCAAATGTGTTGTTTTCTTGCTTTTATACACTGTTACACAGCCCTCCTAGTCAAACAAGCACACAAACAAAACAATGTGGATGTTTGGATCCAGACAATAATTGCAAACATGCAGTGACAGGAGTTTCACACCAACTTATCCCATCTGCTAGCAGAAGGTTAGACCAAGAATAAGTGTAATTTATTGACTCAGAGCAAGCCTCCAACATATTTGCGCCTCAGAAATCCTTGGTCTCACGCTACTTTATGTAAGAATGATTCTAATAGCTTCCAGTGGGCTAGACTATAAAAGGGAGAGTTGAGGACTTTCTTAGAAATAATAATTCCTTCATGTGCCACGTGGATAGCTGGAGTTCTGATTGGGAAAGGGGTGGCCAAAATCAGATAAAAGCCAACTGTAATTGCTGACACAGTTGAGTGAGTGCCTTGGGGCAAAATGACCCCCCACCATCAGCTTGAACCATAAAAAAGGGCTGGCATCCTGCTGAAGGGGCTGTGTGGTGTCATGAGTAAGGTTTCCTCTGTTCTCATCTTCACTTCACTCACAACAACTTTAGAAGAGTGTTGCCAGTAGTGATGTGCGAATCGATACTGAAATATCGATTCCTCCGATACCAGTCATTTATGTTCTAGAATCGATTCTCATATTAAAATATCGATATTTTGGTAATTTAGGGTAAATTTGTAGTTTATCTTTAACAGGAACACAGTGGAAAGAAACTATATAATTGTCTACTTTTGAAGGAACTACTTCATGTTCCGCCTTTCATAGTCATGTGTGAAATACGGCTGTATAAATGTGTCGCAGCCCCTTGGCGTGCGCACTCACAACAATGACTGAGCGTAAATGGAGTCATGCATGGATGTATTTTACCTCCACAAACAGCCGAGACGTGGTTTGCGATACATGTGGCAAGACAGTGAGGTGTTGTGGCAACACCACTAACCTCATCAAACACCTCACAGTAAATCGTATCACAGAATATGACGAGTGTATGTTGAGGCGAACTGAAGAGGAGGAGAGGGACAGGTGGTGCTAGAGGGAGACAGACGTCTCTCACGGAGTCCTTTAGTGCTACAGGCAATGTTTTCAAGTAGGCACAACTTCAGTTTTTTTTTATTTCTATATGATAATTCTGCATTATTAAGCGATAAGAACAAGTAGTCTGATGTCCCGTAATCATTATGAAGCTATAATTTGAGATACAGTAAAAGATACAATAAATAAAATATGTTTTTGTACAAAGTATCGGTATCGGATCAGTATCACTGATACCACCCTGAATTTTACTTGGTATCGGATCGGAAAGGAAATCAGTGGTATCGCACATCACTAGTTGCCAGGGTTGTTTTGGCATTTTTTTCTGAGCCCCTTATTTGCTGGATAAGTGCAGTACTACTTGTAGTATGTTAATAAATCACAGTGTATCTTAAATGGAGCCTACTATATCTTCTTTATGTCCTTATCTGTCAATAATCAATTCTAAAACTCTTTTCTCTTGTCCTCCCTCTGCCTTCTCACACTCGTCTTTAGGTAACAAGTTTTCATATGTCCATGCATGCCTGCTGGTTGCAGGCATCTGGTGCTACGCTGGAGTCTTTGCTGTCGGTCCCCTGTCGGGCTGGGGAGAGTACGGGCCTGAGCCTTATGGTACAGCATGCTGCATCAACTGGCATGCGCCGAACTATAATTCTGCAGCTATGAGCTACATCATCTGTCTCTTCTTCTTCTGCTATATTTTGCCCTGCACTATAATTTTTCTTTCCTACACATTCATCCTGCTGACTGTCCGTGGCTCACACCAGGCTGTGCAGCAGCATATGTCCCCACAGAACAAGATCACCAATGCACAAGCGCTTATCGTTAAGGTACGTGCATTATTTTCTTTTCAAATGACTTATACTAAATATTATTTCCTTCATGAATTCATGTTTGCATTGCATTTTATTTGCTGTGTTGTGTCTATTTTTTAGCTTTCAGTGGCAGTTTGCATCGGTTTCCTGACAGCATGGAGTCCATATGCTATTGTGTCTTTGTGGGCAGCGTTTGGTAACTCAACAACTGTACCACCTATAGCTTTTGCTGTGGCAGCTATCTTTGCCAAGTCCTCCACCCTTTACAACCCTATCGTCTACCTGGCTTTCAAGCCCAATTTTCGCAAGTCCTTGTGTCGAGATGTGGCGAATTGCAGAAGGAGACTCTGTGGATGTTTGTGCCAGGGTGGCTCTGCAGAGAAGGGAATTTGCAGGCAGTCCCATCACAAAGAAGAATGCAACTCTACAAGGTTATCCAATGGGTTACCAGAGAACCACAGGACCTGCAGACACTGTCCTTGCCCAGAAACAGACAACGGTAATAGAGAAAATTGTATAGACTACAGTCCTCAGCAAACCGCCAGGATTCTTCAAGGATCCGTACACAGTGAAGTGGCTGTCAGCCAGCTCTCCAATGAGATGCAGAGTGACTTTCTCTAGAGGAACAAGTGGAAAATGAAGTATGAAGCAAAAAGTGGCACGAATAAAGCCCAAATAACAGTAGGTGCAAGTTGGGGGGAAAGTGAAAATGCAATCAAACAAACAAAAATGGTAAGACTGATTTAAAAGAAATAAAAAGTTTAAAACTACTTTCATGCCTCAAATATGTGATACTGCCAAAAAAATATGTGGTTAAAAGCCAATACAGGAGGATAAGCAAGCCAAACATTTCACTGGTGTGTGCATCAGCATTTTATCAGGTCAAATGAACAAGTGTCAGCAACTATGTGATCAGTTCAAGTGTAAACCAAGACTGAAGAGTCACCATGCAAGTCATTTTACGCTGGGCTTGGAGGGAGGAACTGACGATGAAACTTCCTACTCCCTGAACCACATTTTATCTGTTTATTATGAGTACTGTATTTAAATATTATGTATTTATGTATGCCTCAAATTGAAGGACCACAGGGTTATTGTTATTGTTGTTGTTGTCTTTGTTGTTGTATCTAAAATGAAAAGAGTGCTTTCACCTCATTGTCGAGGAGAAATCAAAACCTCTACTCCTATAGTTAAAGCAGACACTTTGGGTGTTAATACAAAGCACTTAGGGAAAGATTTGGCTTGGTGAGCCACCGTTTTGTCCAGAAGGTACATCTGCAAGGAGGAGATGTTGTCTTCTATTTCCATTTTTCCTAGTCACCTCTGTCCAGGCAAGAAGATTTTGATGGAGTGGAGAGTGTCAGCTGTTTAGGCATTTCAGCCATTTTTTATAATAAGCCCTTTTTCAGTGACTCAAAAGTAATTGGACTAACTAACATAATTTTATTGTTTTCAATACTTCGATGAAAATACGCTGCAGTCAATCATTGGCTGAAATCTAGAACATGGACGTCACCAGGTTGTTGATTTCACCGGTCCTAATGTTTTTTCTGATAGAACTGAAGAGGTGAAAAGTCTTCATGCAACATCTTCACAAAACTTAAAGAAGTTCAGCCACTTTCTTTCCAAGCTCCTTAGACTATCTCTCTGATAGATTTTATATGACTTTTTAGGCTAATCTACAAAGAAAATATCAACATTTAGAGTGAACAGCTACCAAAAAGCATGTTCAGCAATTAACTCCAATTCTTTCATCAATTTTAATTTGTCGTAGAGTAACGATGGAACAGGTCTCATCTGGGCATGAAACCTTTTGACAGTAAATCGTCCAGTTACATTTGAGCCTCTAAAATTGAGGGACATATAAAGTTGAAAAATAAAATAAAATAAAATACAATACAATAAAAATGACTGTAATTTCTGAACTTAAACTTTAGGTTATTGCAGTTACTTTTGTTAAACTTCTTGTCTGATTTAAAACTCACCGTGATGGTGTGCAGAGGCAAAATTGCCAAAAAAAAAGAAAACACTGTCCAAATACTTATGGACACTAACTGTTTGTGATCAGAACTACATTGAACTCTGTCAGTGATTCTGTTTGGGTGGTTTTAGCACTTTCTGAAGACCAGTTTAAAAGAGCAAAAAGAAATTTCTTTGTGCAGAATTTCTGCTGCAAATGAATTAGTATCTTTTATGACATTAACTGTGGAAAAGACTCATTAAAAGGCTGATTGATGATTTATTTATCTTGAATTCCGAGCCTGGGATTATAAGGTTGCCTTTGGTGGCAGAGCTGGGTCATATTTTCATTCTTTTCAAAAAGAAGAAGAAAAAATAAATAAATAAAATGAAAAAAAAAAACACCTGCAGCATTTAGAACTTAAAAGCTTATTTTTCATATTTTGGGTTAGGATTTTTTTTCATGTCACAGAAGCATCTCTACAATGTAGCCCAACTAGCCAAGGAAAAAGTGAGATGGTTATTTGGTTTAAAACAAGCACTTTAGGAAAACAAACTTTTTCATTATCTTTGGTTGCCTTAGGGCTTGGAAAGAGGCTTTAATCAGGGTACTAAAAAAATGTTGTCCTGTTCCAAATTTCCGCAAATAAACAAGTTAGTGTGTTATTATTACTGGCTTCACTGAGCACCAAACCTATGAGACTAAGACCCAAAATTGTAATAAAGCTGAGCGATCTTTTAATCAGAGCCATTTTAACAAAATGGGAGAAAAAAGCCTGCCTGTGGATAGAACGCTTGCCTTTAGTACTTCTTTTGCTTGTTTTTAATGTGAGAGACACAAGGCTTTGCCTCAGCACCCATCAACATTATTTTAATTTAAAAAAAAAAAAAAAAAAGCATAGTGAGGATGGATGAGGTTAACTGAAATGTTTGTCCAACAAGCAATTTTATACCACCTACCTCCCGACAGCATAGGCCATCAACTCAAAAGTACAAAACGACCTGCCATGGGCAAAATTAATTGGATGTGCTGGAGTGCAACTTGTGATTAACTGGCATGACTTTGATACCATGATTCCTTTCTTACAGAAAGGCTGAGACCGAAGACTGCAGTTCTGTGCAGTTTACACACAAGCGCGCACACACACACAAAAACTACAAAAGCATTTCAGATTTTCTGCTTTCACGTTCAGTTTGGCATGGAATAATTAGCTTAAAGTCATGCAAAACAACCAGGTCAGCACATGTGGTGCATTCTGCTGTTTGCTACAATAACTCCTCTAGCCTCAGTCGGGACAGTTTATGGAGAAATGGATTCAAAATTACTAATACCACCTGAACTATAATACTCCACATGGGCTTTTCACAAGACACTTAGCCCTGGGCTTAGACGCTTGTTAGCTCAAGGCTTATTTCTCAGTTGTGAACTTAAGTTGTGTTCAGGCTGACATTAGCATTGCTCAGTTTGCTGAGGCTAGAACACTGATACGTGGGAGATTCAGCAGAATTATGTAATTCTCTTTTTGGTGTTGTGCATGTAAAACTTTGTGGTGAGGTCTATTGAATATGAAAATGAATATGCACAGCCGCACACAATATTATTCAAATGTGGATGATGCCGAAAACAGCAGCTGCACAGTATTTCCTCACTTGCTCTGGCACTGTGCACAGGCAGTAAACTGTATAACCTTGGACAAGCCAGGAAAGAAAAGGAGGGGGAAGTCCAATTTATTTTATTAAGCAGCTTTAATAAAATTGTCCCAAAAAACACTGCCAAACTTATTAACTATTTCAAAATCCAGGAATTTTTTAAAATATTAGCAGAATTCTTTCTGAAACACGTATGAGCACTGTGAATCCAGGGAGTTTGAATAAATTAAAGTAAGTCATACTTACTTATATATGTCACAGATATGAACGAGTGCCAGATTCTCCACCTTTAAAGAAATTACTTCTGCAAAGAAAAGACACAAGTTAGGGCAGAATAGTGATTAAATGTGATAACTCACTAGATACTCATTAAATATGTGACAGCAATGCAGAATATGAGAGAGGTAGGTTGCAGAAGCATGTCTCATAGTGTTGTAATTCTAACTTTTGTCTCGGTGTTAGGAATTACTTCACAGTTTTTTGCCATCTGATGGGACTCATCTATTACTTAAACCAGCTTTGCATGAATATGTTACTCAATCAGATCCACTACTGACTTTGATTAGTTTAGTTTTATTTATTAGTTAGTCACATCTTATTAGTTTATTGAATATATAATTTCCTACAATATTCATTAACTACAATGTCATTAAGATAAGGGAAGGCCATAAGTATAATTGTATCCATTTTGGTTATGCGACTAATCAAAGCTAATAAGGTCAACACTTTCTGCATCGCATAAAAACTCTCTCCCACACCGACACTAAAGATCAGTCAGGAGGTACTTTAATGCGATATGATACTAGGTTGGTGCGTCTTCATCCTCATGCAACACACCACCAACAGTGCAGCCTTTTGCGTTTTCTACTGCAGTGCTGTTTCCTGGCTGAACACCAAATGACAGCTGCTTCAGTCTCTAAAGTGGGATAACCCCAGGCAACCTTCAGCTCAGAGTTTACAAAGCCCAGATCTGTAGTATTTGCTGTGATATAACTCTGATTGTTCTTAAAACTATTTTGTGAGGTTTCACGAGAATAAAAGCAATGGAAAATCTCGAGTCTGGCCATATTAAAAGAGTTATACACGTCAAGTGTTGTGAAGTTCAAGTTTGAGAATCTTTTGAACCTGGAGCTAACTGTGAAATGAGGTGAGGAAAGCCTCGGGCCGTCTGGAGCTCGAGTTTATTTCAGCTGACTCATGTACATGTGAAAACTTGCTCCCTTTGCAAAGACAACAACAGGCTCTCCACGGACTCATAGAGTCAGTTTTTTATTTTTTATGAGGATGTTGTAGACAACATTATCTTCAGCTTTTCATTTATATATCAAAGATTTCCTGGATGTTCAGGGTAAGCAGCTCATTGCTGTTTCTTGCTCCACAACCTCCAGGTTGGAAAAAAAAAAGTGACACAAAGCCTTTGAACTGTGTGCAGGATGGTATGGTAAACATTTCCTAGAAAGAAACAAATGATTGTACTTATTTTTCTGTTATGTGACTAATGATGGTGGTTTCATAGTAACTATAACATTTTAAACATGAGAAAAGTAGTATAAAAACTGAAGTGTGTGAAGTTTCTGCTTGTCATGCTGCAACCAAAGGTTACAGTCACCTTTACACTAACTGTCAAAGCCAAAAAAATACTGTCTTGGACTGTCATATTTTTCTACCAATATCCAGGTTAACATAATAAAAAAGAAAAGAAAATGAAAAACAACATATCAAAGACTCGGCTTCAAGTCCAGTGCTTGATAGGCTCTGTTTTGCCCACAGTCTTTGGGCAAAAAAAGGACATTCAAAACAGGAAACATAACTGTGAAAATCTGATTCTGATGTCTATTTTTTCTATTCTGTTCTACTCTATGAACAAATATTGCAAGTACCTAGGTGTGCAGTCTGTACTACTAGCCATTCACCTGGGTAATCTACACTGACTTTACTCCTTCAAATAATATTGCATTGTATATATCTGACGTCAGGGATTTCATGTCGATTGTTTGCATGGATGAAGATAATACGTGTTTGTACAAATGCCTAATTATGATGTATGTTATTATAAATATCAGTCAAAACATGAAAATAGAGATGGAGCAACACCTTGCAGTGTCTTGAAATGGTGATGATTTTTATTTTCTTGATGTTTTAAATGCAGTCCAAACAAGTTTCAGTCCAAACGAGCTGCTTACTTCCTTTTCCCCCTTCTAATGTCTATAGAAAAGAGAAAAAAGGCTGGATATTCAATTGGCCATAATATAAAGCCCATTATCCGAGTGGAAAACTTATCTATAATGATGTTAATGTACATGCATCTGGTGAACTTGAATTGAAAGATTTAAGTACTTTGAAGGCTTTAATGTTGTTAAACAAGCTTATATGAGCATTTTACAATGAGGGAGGTTACATTTAGTGCCAATATGTCTGAGCTGTCTGAAAAAGTTCAAGCTTGGTGCAATTATAGTTAGTCCTTGCATTAATAAATCCTGTTCCCACCATTAGAGTGTGTTAAAACTTTTGCTAATCATATTAATCTTAACCTTCTTTCTGAAGGTTTCTGTATCTGTATCTTCTGTATCTCTATATTCTGTCAAGATACAGCCTGGCAACATGGCAAAGACCTTTGAGTCTATGCTTGGTCAGAATATTACGTTACATTCTGTTTGCACTGTGTTATAATAGCTGTATTAATGCATTGTAAATAAAGATTAATGTAATTGAGCAATGCAACTAGAATTTTCTGACTAAAACAGCCAAGTCTTTAAATCAGTCCATGTTTCCCTTTTTATTTTCTGAGATGCAGTTTTGTTCATGAGTACACAAACACCAGGAGTTTTGATGCACCTTTCTTCAGCTTTTTAGACACAAACAAAGCTGAATGTGTTGTGTAAATATGTATATGTGTGTCTGTATGTATGTATATGAAAACAATTCTGTCTAACTACATAGGCTTGAACAAATGCGTTAGATGTATTAAATTATTCTCATTGTTGTCAGTGATGTTTCAGATGCACTGTGAAAATGTTTACAGCTTTTGTTTCTTGTTTTAAAATTATTAAAGATTGTTTAAAAAAGTGTAACATATATTTAGCCAATGCAATATCATTTGTTCAGAAGTAAAATGGAATGATAAATAAATATTATTTGGTATTTAATTGGGGTTTTCTTTAACTACTTTTAAATACTATACACAGAGCCCTAAAAGACACAACTTAGTCCTCCAACCATAAACACTGAAACTGGGTCCAGTGCAGTTCAGGCATCAGACATAGGCAGGGCTTCTTGTTGTGACGGGATAGCCACAAGCCCCTGCTGATCACTACTGCTTTTCTGGTGTTTTTCCTGGAGAGCCTTACCTCACTTTAACTTACTGGATCTTACCAACCACGAGTTTGCCTTGTAATCGGAAGGTTGCCGGTTCGATCCCCGGCTCGGACAGTCTCGGTCGTTGTGTCCTTGGGCAAGACACTTCACCCGTTGCCTACTGGTGGTGGTCAGAGGGCCCGGTGGCGCCAGTGTCCAGCAGCCTCGCCTCTGTCAGTGTAGCTGTGGCAACAATGTAGCTTGCCATCACCAATGTGTGTGTGAATGGGTGGATGACTGAATGTGTAAAGCGCTTTGGGGTCCTTAGGGACTAGTAAAGCACTATACAAATACAGGCCATTTACCATAATATGGTAGTAGTTCCATATATCTGTCTTTATGTGGGGATTTCATTCATCTTCAGTAGAAAAACATGGAGGTTAGTAATGGGAAGATTGGCCTCCCTGACCTAAAACATAGCAGCTTTTGATTGTTCTGCACTAAGCATTAAAAAGCTATCGCAAATATCATGTTCAAGCATGAAGTAGCTTATGAGTGCACTTGTCACTGCAGTACCCTAGGCCAAAGGTCAATAATAGACTTTTTGTCATATCAGCTTGTAGCCATACATCTCAGACGGTCCTGTCAAGTGACCGCCAACTAGATTACTTTACTGATCCGTGTATTTTTGAGCATCAGCCTTCAGTTTGAGGAAAAAAAATGTTCTAAGGAAAAGCATTGCCTGAGGTGAAGGTCAGCCTCTCTCTGTCTCTGCTAACTTGTAACTTGTGTCTATCCCTATTTTCTTGTATTATGTCCTGCTTGTGTGCACACACAAACATGTACATCATGTTTTATTGGGGTTTCATTAAGAGGATGGCATGGACTTTTAGTCATAATTGACTTTTACAACAGCGGTGTGCACTTCCAAAACACGAATCCTGACTGACAGTGGTGATTATTTGTCAGCTATTCACCTAAAATGAGAGGTTTTTACATGAACTTCCTTTCTTGTGTGCGTGGATATATTATGAACGTGAAAAAGAAAAATTGAGCTCATATATTTAAATCTATGTTTTAGCAACATCTTTGACCTTGAAACAACGTTAAAAAGCCAAATATTTTTTCCCCATTTTATTTCATGGGAGATTGAAAACACTATCAGCTGCTGTTGTTTCTGCCCATCATTTTTTTCCCATTCTTTTCCTTGCACACCTGGCTTATTGCATTAACCCTGCAGATTTAGATATAGTTGAGAGCAGTTGCACTCCATGCAAACAGATGGACGTGATCTGGCTACCTCACCTGAACAAGATGTCCCTGCTGAACGCCATCTGCCAAAATAGCTACACTCTGCCAGTAGCAGGATGGGGAGGCAAGTATGATCGTGGAGTGACTGCAGAAGCTAAGTCAACACATTCTCACTGCCGGCTCGTCACATTCTGACCCCATTTGGTTATACTTCAATGAACTGGGTACCCCTTTAGCAGTGTTTTTCCCCTCGCAGGGTAGTACTTTGAAATAAAGCAAAATGCAAATGAGAAAGCACAAACACACTAAGCAAAGTTTACAACTGGAGACACATGAGGTGGTGGTTTAAACTAGGATTTTCAGCTAGAAGGAACAAGATTATATCTCATGCATCCTTCTACTTTGTAGGTTTTCATTATCAGAAACTTTGAGGTTAGATTTACTAAAAATAAAAATAAATAAATACAGGTTATATAGGCACACATTCACTTCACATTCAAACACATAAAGCAAACTTTTTCCATCTGGAACAAGCTTGTCCTCCGCGTTTTTGTCCTGACACATTGACAACAATCATCTAGCAACTTTCCCACAGCCTTTGTTACGATGGTAATTGCAGCTGGTCGATCAATAAGAATCCAGACTAACAGACATCATCTGGTTTGTTTTGTGAAGAATATAAATAATAAATTACTTAATTACCTAAATCGCTGCACATCAAATCCTAATCTTGCCCAAGGCACCAGGAAGGGTGCCTGACTGTTGTCCCTTTATGTGAAAGTTTACTTCAGTGAGCCAAATAATGAGTGAACTAGCTGTGTAAACAGGGCTGAGCATATGTAAATGAATCCCAAGGTCCTTGTATACACTGTCAGCAAAAAGCAGCAAAATGTGAATTTATTACATTTTCCTCCTTCTTTATTTCAAAGTAATGAAGTACATTTAATCTTAACAAGGCTTCAGTTTCAGGGACAGCTTTTAATCATAAACTTCTTCTCCAAGTGCCAGTACTTGCAGTGTTTTTAATAGTTTCAGGGATCAAATCCTTTGTGCTTTCACACTTATGCTCGCATTTTATTTACTTGTTGGATTCTTTCTTCTCTTGATCCTGGTTCCACATCTTATGATGTGAAAAATGTCCTCGTTAAGACCTAAGCCAAGTCATCATTTCCTGCTTAAAATTCATTTAGAATCCCTACCCTTGTCTTCACTTCCACAGTCTGCATGCTGTAGTGACTCAAACTACACTACACTGCCAGTAACAATAATTTCATCAATGAATAATAACATCCAATCTCCCATACATGAATAAGTCATCCACGAACACAGGATATTAGTCTAATTAGATTTTCTGGCTGGAATAGTATTAAAGTAGGTTAGACACAACTGAAATAACCAACCAATTCAGAAAGGAACACAATGGTGGTCTCTTTCTGTATGCTGTCTTTGTAAAAGTAGAAGTCTGTCACTGCAGAAGTCACTGAACAAGCCAATTTGTTTAAGACAAGCTGTGAGAAGATGGGTGGGATAGAATGTTGAGTATGATGCAGTATGGTGCAAAAAAGTGTCAGCTAGGACAGAAACTGAGCTTCAAGAACTGTTTTAAATGGATCACTGTGCTCAGGTGTTGTCAGTTTTAGAGGTGTTATCATCTGCCAACACCTCCCCTCCTGTACCTGCAAGGCATGCTGCCACAAATCAAGTAAGAGGAAGAAAGTAACGCAGGACAGAGAGTTAATTAAAAAGCTGTAATAGAAACACTATTTTTGTTTCCTTCCAGCGGTAGTGAACAAAGAAGAACCCACCTGAAAACCAAAGAAGTACTGTCATTTTAATCTTCCCATTCAGTTGCCTGAGCATCATCCAGGGCCAGTACGTCTCTTCTAGTCACATCTGTCATAATATTGCCAACAACAGTTAGCTCATTTTTAAGATCCTGCACCCTGGTGACAGTGATATGAAGCCAAAATGAATCACTCGTTTCATTCTGAAGATTTTCCTGACATCAAATTTGGGTCCAAGCCACACTATGTATTTTATTTACATTCCCAACCTGCAAGGAAAAGTTAAATAGGATTTACATTTTTCAACACAAAGATTACCCAGAATGTTTCAACAAACGTTAATATCTTGAGAATATGTGTAGAAATGAAGTGATATTCAAAGTGCTCTGAGCTCATCAGTGTGTTTGGATAATTGCTACCTCTGAGAGGTTTTATGGATATTTCCTGTGCCTCAGACAGAGTGAGATGCTGCCTACTTTGTAGCATGCTTGTGTTAAGCATTAATGTTTTCCCACCAGACTTTCAGAAGAAAACTCATACCTTTCTGTGCTTAAGCAAAGAGCATAAAAGAAGAAAATAATGTGTACATGACTTACAAATTATTGCTCTGACAGATTAATTGGTATGAGATTTAATTTATACACTCCCAAAACATTTTGGGTGCTTTAGAAAATAGCATGTAGTATGTAAATTGTAGTTTGCAGTAACTCGCCCTAAAATATACAGAAACACAAACAGAAATTTTTTAAATGTGAGTGCAACACATGAGTGAACCAGTCTGCAGCTGCAATAACAACACAGCCACTGAGGTTACTGTACAATTAACTGTGCCAAAGGCTAAATGGTTTTCTAAGACTCGAGCCCAAAACACTGACTATTAAAAACAATACACTGTAATAAATATTCTGGTTTTAAGGTTGGTGATTATTTCCCATATAATAAGCAGCCACAGGGTCTTTTTTAAATAATTTCAATAAATCATGATTGAGTGAAGTTAAATAAGCAATTAGTCACATAAGCCAAGCGACCAGTCAGCAACCCCTGGCAACCTCCAATCACCAAGGAAACATGTCTACTCTCTGACCGGTTGGCAAGTTGGTCAGCTGGTAGCAACCAAACCATATAGTGGGCACACAGCAGCTTTCATTTTTATGGAAATATAATCAGAATCCAACCTGTTGGAAACCTGTTCAGTCCAGTCCCCCACTGCAAAGGCAGATGTCCCAGACAAGCTGCACTTATTGGTGCAGACCGTCTCAGACTGATTGCACTGTCTGTGTTTATGAATTAGACAAAAATCTAAAATCGATTGAAAGCAGTAACCAGATGTTTAGGATGTTGCTCAACCACTCCACAACTACTTGCAATCCGCTGTCAAATGAAAAAACATCTATTTATACTATTACTGCTGTTTGCCATACTGCTTATACTGGTGTATAATCTTGCAATGCCATGTGTGACATATTGATATGGCATTTTTTGTGAGTTTTGACACTTCTACATACATCACCAGTGTGATGCCCCTCCCCAGATTTTTTTAATTTGTCAGAGTGATCAATAAACATGTTTTTCCGGCAATTGTTTTATGGATCAGGCTTTAAAGAGGCCATTTCTGATCTATTTTTAATAATACACACTCATGTTAAGGTCCACATTTGGAGAAGCCCCTATTGTTATTCACATGGACATTATGTAATTTCCCCCTAGTTACTGAATGACAGGGCATATTTTCCTCATGTAGACATTCAAAACTAATTTTACAAATGATGTGTGACAGTGCCAA